GCACACACAGTACATCTCCTACTACACACATTTCACACTACCACTCGCACACCTTTCTTGGTAATCTCGAAACTAATGTAATCTCAATACTGTGTGTGTAGTGTAGATGTGAATTGTGTGTACGTGGTGTGTGCTAAGTTATGTGTGTGGTGCGCGTTGTGAGTCGAGTGAAGTTAGTGAGTGAAGTGAGTGTATGTGTATGCGGTAGATGGTTAGTGAACGAGAGTCGTAATCGCCGTGTATTGTGCGTGTGGGTGTGTCGCTCGACCTTTTCCTTCGGAGAGAAGGGATCAGGAAGCGCATCTCTCCGGCGAGGCTCCAGACGAAGGTTGCTCCTGTGGGGGGAATTTTCTCGCAAGGTCTGTCTTTGGTCGAACCCAATTCTTGACCTCCGATATGCGGTCGGCTTTCAGGAGTTTACGGACGGGTCAACATCTGTGGCCCGTGGGAGACATCATGTCGCGCGCGGGGTTAGGCACATTTCACCATTCCCTTCAGTATTTGATCCGCCGGGGTTGGTTAATCAGATACGCGATAATGAATTCCATTTGTTGAGGGTACATATAGGGATAGAATGCTATAATTCTGATGTCTGTGTCGGAAACTGATATAGGAGATATAAAGTTTCCGGGCAGGCAGGTAATATTACGCTGTTAGCTGGTTATTTAATTCTATCATATAATTGTGAATAGATTGCACGTGTTTTGTTTGGAGTTTTTAAGATGTAGGGAAAGAATTTCAATGTGTGTTTTTGTGGAGATAAAATAATTATCTATGCCTAAAAGAAAGGGTATTCATCGGCAATGCAAAGTTACTGTTCGCGTTAAGAAAAACATAGAAGCACTGTAAGATCTTACGAATATTTGCATCACTGTGTGTGAGAATACTTTAACTTTGGCTTAACATAATGGTTAATCCAATCTAGTTGTGATAAAAGCGCTAAAACTATGTGCTATGGTTGATATTTATAGCACTTTGGTTATAAGCATTGCGTCGCGAAAAGGGAAAAAAAAAAAAAAAAAAAATCTTCCTACTGTAATACTATTTATGTTTTTTGCCGGATGGTAGATTTTTGGTGTGTTAACGGGTGCGTGAATGGTGTAGTGTAGAATAAGGACAATGAATGATACAATACAATAAAGCCAAAAAGGAAGAAATAAACAAAAACTACCAAAGATAAACATCAACACTACCTTAATTCTAATTATCTTCTTTTCTCTCTTTCCTTCTCTCCTCGTCTCAGCCTCCACGTGTGCCTGACCAGCCTCCAAGCCACGGACAATTTCGCCGAAGAACTGGTGAAGGATCTGAAGGAAGCAATGGATGTCGTTCGCCTAAATCCTCAACCGCCTTCAGGAGTGTGGATAGGTGTTAGTGGGCAGGAAAGGGCGTGTGGGAGTTGGGTTATGGAGGGTTGGCGGGGGTCGGGGATGCAGGGAGCTGGGGTGGGCAGTGGGGGGTAGGGCGTGGGGATGGAACAATTTCCGTGTTGTGTAGGTGGGGAAAGTGTGAATTCGTAATACGTGTGTTTGTTTGTCAAAAGAAAGTTCTAAACTGTAAAAAAAAGTTTTCTGTAGCTAAGAAAGGTCTAGTAAATACACACTCCTTTTTGTCCACAGGCGGGCAAAGCTCACTACAACCTTGGTACACGAAGCAGGCCCGCAGATTAACCCTGAACAAGTCGACTAGTAGTAGAGCAGGCCTGCTATAGAATATTTCGCTCGCACGCACAATGTTATTGCATGAAACCGAATGAGCACCACTTAGTTAAAAGACTGAATACAAGGATAAGAGCTGAATTAGAAGTCGTACTAACAAAGTCATTAGTGAAAACATACTGGAATTAATCTAGTTAAGAAATTTTATTAGTTTATGGAAGAATTGTGTGATTTTTTTGGATATCAATAATTGTGACAACATGCTGGTTTTTGAATACGGGTGTAATAAAAAGAATGCAACTGGTAGTGACTGTTCAGGCTATTTACGGGAACTAAAGAATTATGAATGCAATTCTTAGTTACTCGGATAACGAAGTTATAATACTTCGTCGGGCATTTACTAGCCCCATGATGTCAAATTAATATCTCCGGTACTACTTTATTTCTACACGCATGTATCGTTACACAGTGTATTTAACGGCATAAGATGAATAGAGAGAAACTTCATAGGATTGATGTGCGCTGTTTTTTTTCTGTTCTACAGAATCATTTAACTTATTCTAGAAATTATAAAATATAGCTAGCTTTTGAAACTGCCAGCAAGTTGTTTCCTTGATTTAATTACTCTAATGAATGTATAATCGATAAGCTGAGCGCTAAAATGATCTAACAGCTTACAGTGCGATGCTATTTACTTTTTCCACATGGATTTCTAAGCGTCATATGATGGTGTCGCTAGTGTGTCGTGTGTTTTTGCTCGACGATAGTGTTTATATTGTCGTGTGTTTTTTTTCTGTGCGTGTGTTTTTTTGTCGTGTGTGTTTTGTGCTGTGTGTTTTGTGGTGTGTGTGTTTTGTGTGGGGTGTGTGCTCTCTATGATGACACGTGTTGGTTGTTTTACCTTGTTGCGTGCTGTGTAATTTGATTGCGGTGTGGGTGCATTCTCTGTGCCGTGTGTGTAGTGTGTGCGTAGTTGTTTTGTGTGTTGTGTGTGTTTTGACTGGTGGGGACTGTGTTGCTGTGTGTGTTTGTGTGTGTGTGCTCGTGTTCGTGCTGTGTGTGTGTGTGTGTGCGTGGTGTGTGTGTGTGGATGTGTAGTGTGTGTGTGTGTGGGTGTTGTTTTTGTGCGTCCGTTGTCTTTTCTTTATGTGTCGTGTAGTGTTCTTGCTGGGCGCTGGGTGTGTTTTGTGTGTGTAGTGTCTGTTTTGTGGTTGTTGTGTGTGTTTTTGTGTCGTGTTTGTGTGTGTTTTTTGTGCGTGTGTGTGCTTTTGGTGCGCCTCGTGTTTTTGTGTGGTGTTGTGTTCTTGTGCTGTTGTTGTGGGGTGTTTTGTGTCGTTTGTTGTAATAGTTTGTTGCTGTGTCGTGTTTTGTGTGGTGTGGTGTGTTTTCTGTCGCGTGTGTTTTTTGTATGTGTGTGTGTTTTTGTGTGTGTGTTGTCGTGTGTTCGCGCCTCGCGTGTGTGTTCTTGTGGACGCTGGTGGTGTTGTGTTGTGTGTGTGTTTTTGGTGTGTGTGTGTGTTTTGGTTGTTTTGTGTGTGTGTGTTTTGTGTGTGTGTGTTTTTGCTCGTGTGTATGTGTTTAATAGTGTGTGTAATAGTGTTTTGTTGTGTGTTAATGTGTTTGTGTGGTGTATTGTGTTTTTTGTGTGGTGTGTGTGTGTTTTGGTGTAGTGTGTGGTTTTTGTGTGTGCTGTGTTTTTTGTGTGTGTGTGTGTGTTTTGTTGGTGTGTTGTGTGGATGTGTGTGTGTGTGTGTGTGTTGGTGTGGTGTTGTGGTGTGTGTGTGTGTGCTGTGTTGTGTGTGTGTGTGTGTGGTGTGTGTGGTGGTGTGTGTGTGTTGGTGTGTGTGTGTGTGTGTGTGTGTGTGTGTGTGTGGTGTGTGTGGTGTGTGTGTGTGTGTGTGTGTGTGTGTGTGTGTGTGTGTTGTGTGTGTGGTGTGTGTGTTGTGTGTGTGTTGTTGTGTGTGGTGTATGTATATATATATTATGTAATTATAATATAGTATTATGTATTGTAGTGGTTATTTTATATAATGTTTGTATATATTAATATATAATATATATACATATATATATATATATATATTATATTATTATATATATTATATATATTATATATATAATTATATAATATATATATAATTATATATATATATATATATATATATATAAATCTAATTAAGTATAAATGCTTGTAATTTATGACTTGCATAGTATCAGTGGCTCGTAAATAAAGATTATATAATTTCATAATTACACACAAACCACACAACAAATTGGAGAAGCCAGAGAATAGGAAGGAAAATAAAGTAATAATCATGGACAAATAAAACTCATTCCAGCTTTTGATCTGGCAACTACCATGCAGTGAAAGTTGAAGTTTTAAACTGAACGGCTTATCATCGGTTTCATAACTTCGTTCCTATTACTCAATGGATAAGTAAACAAGCTTTTCTTTATTAAATTTTTTGGAACACATTTTACAATACTGTTTCTTGAAATGACTAGAGGAACTAACAATGGTTCAGGAGGGAATTCATTATTACATCAGAAACAGAATATATATTTTGTAATATCATGTAATTATCAATTAACATATTCTGTCTTCACTAATCCTTTATGATATAGTTACACATATTACAGAAATGTGCAATCACTAATTTCTTCATACATTTATAAAGTGAGAAAATTCAATAAAAAAGAAGAAAATGTGTTCACTCAAATGAAGAGGGATATCATTTAAAGCTTAAACTCCTAAAACAAATTTAAACTTTAAATGACCCACAAAAAAATTCTAAACAGTACATTTCATTCCTTATAAGCTGCTGTTTGGAGCTCCTTTCATATCTGAGAAAATGACATTAATACGGACTTTTTTTTAAGTAAGAAAGAAGCGATATTAAAAACTACAAGTATGCCATTAGAAGAAAAATACATACATTCATGATATCAAAAAAATCTCCAATGTCACTAAATCTTATAATAATTACAACAGCAAAGACATTTAAGCTTTATCATTTGAAGATGGAAATATATATAGGCAGATGTATACACCTTTGATTATTTTTAATCATAAATTTTCACAAAATCATTAAAGGCACTAAAATATTTACCACATAATGTCTGCTTATATTTAAACTTATTACATAAGTTCTTAATTTGAGACTTACAAATTCAAGACTCCATACAAAGTCTAGTATGGTACCTAATGTTTTACACTTTGGCATACAAACAGTCGTAAATGACCATAATACACATATTTTCATGGTGAAAAACAAAAGATAAAGATAACACTTATTATCAAAAGAAGTTATAATATCTATGTGTAACTTTTAGGTTCAACAAAATGTACACTATCTACCTAAAACTTTGGAATTATGATGGTGATATGTTGCAGATTAGACAAGCACTTCATCCTTGACAAATTATTTTGCTTTGTCACAGCCAAGATTTGCAATGCCATACAAGATATATTCTAGACCTGATAAAAATATCCCAAGGGCATAATAGGTGGTTCAAATATCTATGAGAAAATGTAATAGACTGCTTAGGATTACAAATAACAATAATGGATGTGTAAGATAAGAGGAAAACTACATGACGTTGGAAAACGGAGACCTGTAATTACATACGTATGGTTTAAAGTTCTCATTTAAAAAATTCCTTTTCTTGTATTACATAAATTAATTTTTGTTTGTTTGCCACAGTAGTGGGCTAAAGTGTAACATTCATAATGTCAATCTTCCCTTATAAACACTGAGCTGCTGAATAGCTGTAATAAATATTTCATACTATATTTTACTAATGCCCCCTATCATTTAATGGACAGCAATCACAATAGGGATATTATCAAAAAAGGAAATGCAAAAAAGAGCTCAATTCAATTATGTATACAGATATGACACACAGGTACACACACACACACACAAAAGATGTACACATATACATATTCTGCTAATAAAGAAGCAAATAAAGAAAATAATCCCGGTTGGCAAATCAAAATACATTTTCTCTTTTCACGTACAAAACAAATATCCATTTCCAAATGCAGTACATATATTCTAGCTAATAAACTTTACAAACTATCTTTTACTATTACAAAATTTGATGATTAGACCTATTTGATCAAACATGCAACTGAAATATATCAGTTGATTCTGTAAGAGACAATATGCCTTGTACATTTTTTTTACAGTAAATAATAATCTTGAAACTCCATGTATAGCCATCTCTGCCCATGAAATTAATTCACAGTATGAAGACAAATTCTTCTTGTATTGTTCTCTAGCTTAAACTATTTATGGATTTCAATACTTATGGCATGTAGGACTTCAAAGAAATGGGCAATTATAAGAAATTAAATAAGTGGCAGGGGTTGGAGAGAGGGAGTCATGGAAAGTGGGAGAGCAAGAGAGGGAAAGGGAGGGGGAGAGAAAGAGTGGATGGCATAGGAGAATTACAGATTTAATAACTATGCTATATTTCATGGTAAAGGGACAATAAACTATTTTTCTGGGTCCATACTGAAACTGTTAAAGTATTGCAAACTTGTCAAGCTACTATCTCCTCTCACCTTTATTATTTGATATGATTATCATTGATGAACCGTATTCATGATGACAAATGTAGAAAGGGATGAATGAGAATGAATATCTTCATTCATTTCTGACGAAGATACTGGTCAAATACATCTCTTGTATTGTAAAGATATTCATTCTCATTCATACCTTTCTACATGATTATCTTTCTTCCAAAAGTTATTGCTACCTGTTTCAGAAAGAATCCATGAAGACCTGTCATGAAATAAGAATTGAACAAGTCATTCATTCTATTTTCATACAGAAACCTGACATAAAAGAAACTACCCCCTTTATATTGAAACAAAAAAGTAATCTCATCATTTGAATTTATCTACAAGCATTACTACCTGATACATCATTTTATAAAATCCAAGATACATACACAATGTATACTTTCAATGTATATGGGCATCTCCTATACAAGTGTGTTACAATGACTTTCATCTTTTATCATGTAATATGTACCAGTGAGTTAGATGGGAAAGTAGTCCTAAAATTTCTTATATATGTTTAGCATCATCTTTCCTACTTTTCTTTGAACCAAACCATAAACAGACTTGAAGTACAATCTGGTACCATTACAACACCTTTACCATTTGTGTTATATTGTGCTATTCAAACTTTTTCTTCCAGCTTGGAGGAGCCAACTTCCTGACACGCTGATGGTACATGTGTGTCATCATCTTGTACATCACTGTAAAAAAAACGCACAAGGAAATTATTAACATTGCACATCACAGTACAAGATCACACACATTAGAATTACAGTAAATCAAACTATTGTGCATCTTATGCATTAGGCCAAGATAAGCATATACTTTACAAGAAAAACTACTCATATGAAACAGATTTATTCCTACTTAATAAAAAGTAAAACAAAATTGCTTAGGTATGGATTTGACTAATTTTCGGAATAAGGAATGATTTCTTGATCTAAAATTTCTTGGCTGTATTTGTTTTGCAGTATAATACTTCAAACAAATATACTTGCCATTTCAAGTAATTGCTTTACAGTTGAAAATGTTTGCCTAATTTTCATTTACTGATTTATTCATTATTTCTTTCTTTTTAAAAATCCTCTTTTTCAGAAAATTTACAAATAACAAAATGCAGCTGAAAGGTGAAAGACTTACAAAATTTATACTATCACATATACAGATCATTTAGCAGCTACTGACTTCATTCCATCAAACTCTAATTAGATTTAGCTCGTTACACTGAATGTAAAATGAAAGCAAAATTCTTATCAATGGATTCATCATAATGATATATACTGTAACAAGGCACTCTTGTATGTTACGGCAATATGGGATATACACAACTCCTTGAATATCAAGTTAAACAAGTGTGTAAACATTTGACTAACATGATAATGTTTTATGATAAGTTATTAAACTTCAACACCTTGCAAAACATTTTAAAACTTACCAGGAAACAGGAAGAAGAGGAGATAACATCTGAGAAGGTTTGGGAAATAGAAACTGAAGTTCCACTTGTTGGGCAGCGCAACTGAGAATTTCTTGGTCTCCTCGAAGTATGGAATATCCCTGAATGAATGGAAATTCAATTAAAAAGATTTAATCACTATATTTGGATTTCATGGAGGGCCTTGTGAAGCTAAGAGAATTTTCTGTATACTATTACCCAAAGCAGCAAGGTATTTACGGCACCATAAACTATCGATAATTCTCTCTCTCTCTCTCTTTGCATCTAAATATTATGTGGCTCCCTATAAATGTTGTAATAAGGGTAAAGAAGCCATGATAACAATTATAAGGCTTATAGATACACAGGTACCTAATTTTTTTTTTTTTTTTTCTTTTTTTTTTTTTAAGGCACATACCTACATATGATTTTCAAAAAAGACAAAAATTCTAATATCATAATGATTTGAGGAAATCATTTTGAAGGTTGAAAAGAAATCAGTTCTGAAAATACACAGTAATGGATTTCTGAACACGCAAGAATTCATACAAACATAAACCAACCAACCAATAAACATGCACACATATACACACTAAAGTAAATCCAAAAATGTAATCATAAAACACTAAAGCCTAAAATATTGAACTTAAGTATTTAATCTACTATAAAAATTTAGAATATTGTGATGAACCTTTATAAGTATTTAGGTATCTGTGTTGCTTACAGCGTTTGCTAGCCAGAATGACATATGTAAATTTATGCATATACATATATGGATACATGTGTTGCAACACATTAAATTACACAGCACCCTTTATACTTAACCAATAAATTTTATTCTTTGCTGTGAACAGTCATTTAGTACACCTACCGACCTATGAAAAGTCTCTTGAAATGTCCGCATATATAAAGGTTTGTTGGCATTCCTTTTTAGTATATGTCAGCAGTATTGCATAAAATTTATTGAACAGTGATATGATTAATCAAAAGTCATGAAGTTATTTTACTGCATTATTTCTAACCAAGTTGCATGATTTTCATAGTCTTTATACTAAAGAGGTAAAGAATTCAAAAAATCATCAAAATGTTTCAGTTATAAGTATTTTACATAGAGGAATAACTATAGTCAAGCATTCAGATGACCCCATCAGAAAATTCTGTTATTGTACCTTTGCCTTTTTCTTTATATCAAACTCCACTGCAAGCAACCTCAGAGCAACTAAATCATTGAAAAGAGGTTTATTTTAACCAGAATCAGGATAAAATATAGGAACTCCGAGATGTGTGCTCTCCTGTACGTTCTTGTGTAACTAGTTTCAAAAGTGGCTACTGACCCTATGTGCAAGTTGCCAACAGCTCTCCACCCTCCAGATCAACACACATCCAGCTTAACTTTGGTAAACAGGATTTTAATGGACATTCACCTTACTTCTATACGTGTAGAAACACCAAATTTGCCACACACCCTCCACTGGGTTAGGACTTTCATCCATTTAGACCCATGCCATACATGAGATTGCACATAATTGTGAATTTTGACTATATCCCTCGCCTTCAGGTACCACATATCCCTTTTATCTCAAACAACTAAATATGAAACAGAAAACATTGAAGATTCAGAGTCTTGTATAATATGCAAGTATGAAGCAGCAAATGCATTCTTACTATACATGTATATTGAACTCACCTGAGAACTACAACCCCTTCACAAATAAAGCCAAGAGGGTAGAGTGGGATCCAGATGGTGTATCGCAGCCAAGTCAGGAAGCTAATCTCTACATCATAGACCCTCAGCATGTAGTAAGGATACCTGTGGAAGATTGACTTCATGATCTTCAAAGATGTGTCCTGCCTCAATCTAAACTAAACTGAAATTCATTATCTAATATTCATAAAACTCTTGAATAAGTTGTATCCAGAGCAAAACCTAAAAATCAGTTTATGTCTTACCTCACAAGTTCTATAAGTGACCAAACAAGATACAGGTAAAATATCACTGGTTTGGTCTGCATTCTCTCTTCTCCTTCAATCAGACAAAAGAAGATAATTCCTCTTCCACCAACCTGAGATATAGAACCATACATCAAGAAAAGGGGAGACCAAAAAGGTGGAGAAAAAGAAATGTCAATCCAGAATAAAGGTCAATGCTGTAGGACAAATTTTTTGTACAATGTAATATTCATTGTCCAAAATGCCTTCTTTCTAATGATTTACAAGATGCAATTCCTTCTACCTGGACAATAGCTTCAAACACTGATCCCTTTGTGTAGCCAACCATAGGGTGGAAGATTTCCAGAAACTGTGTTATGAAGCAGAGCCGCATCATCCAGCCAACATTCAAGTGAGTTCCTTCCATCGATGCTGTGATGTAGGTAGTAGAATGAAAAAAAGGAAGAAAAAAATCTTATAGAAACTGCATTGCCATGCAAACATGTTAATGCTCTTGATTTATCTGGATTTTTCTTTCTAGTTACTTACTGTTACAGAATTTCATTATTAAACCAAGAGAATAGATGAGCAGAGATTAAAATCTTTAGTGCAATATTATCCATGTATCTACAACTACAAATAACATTTATAATAACTATTAGAGTATGAAACTAACTTACCAGGACCATCTCTTAGGTATCTGGTTCCCATGACAACCACAATGTATATGAATCCTATAAACTGCCACAAGTTGTATAGGAAAAGATATACTTTCTTCATACTCTCTCCTGAAACACAAACACAAAAAAACATAATTGATACATTCACGACGGGATCTTATATCCAAGTTAGTTATTCAGAAATTTAAGGTAAATATCTAAATATTTACCTGTCTAGCAGACTAAACTTATTTTCTATTAAAAACTGTAATGCACAACATTAACCCTGCTCTTACTCTTTGTCGGCCATCCCATTTCCTCAGCTTGGACCCTGTTATACAGATCAGGATAATCCTCCATGATGTCTCTGGCCTCATCAGATAAGTCCTCTTCGTGAGTCCATTTGTCAAAGTCAATCTAAAAGTATGCATTTTCTTTTATAGACAACTCTTCCTTTATAACTTCTGTCATTTCTCTTAAAATCTACACTGTTAAATTAGTGTTAACCAATAAATAAATCAACATTTTCATGTGGTATGTTTAAATTGACCTATTATTCTGTAAAATCTATCAAAGAACATGGTACTTACTTTCAGCCAAGCAGGTTTCTTTGTATCTTCTAAAAGCCTTGGCCAGAACTCAATCTCTGACTTCATGAGGTTGAATTCAACGTTTCTGTCTAAGATTCTGTATTTGCTTTTCTGTTCAGACACATAAATGATAGAGAAATTATTTTGCTATTCCAAAAGCACTACAGTACTATATATCAAATTCAATAATCTTCTGTTGAATAATGTTTTTCTGCACTCTATAAACTAAGAATGACATATTAAATCCTCTATCCATGTCACATGCTATAAGGTACTAATTCTTACCTAATACTACTTCAACTGGAAGGGAAGTAAAAACATGCCCAGTCCATTGTGATTTTAGTTTACTACTTTTATATGAACACAGATGGTCCCACAAGCGCTTAGTCACCATGGGCTCAATTACTAAACATTTATAGGGCGGCATTCATCAAAGGTCTATGACTGTTTTTAGCGATTTTGTCTCTGATTTGCACTGTGCCACATCTCAAATTTAATGCTGGTAATAGAAATAACATGTAAATTGGTATAGACCCTATTTTGATCATCTATTGTAATAATAAGATATGGTAAATATGGCAATAAATCTTACTGATACCACAACGGTAATATTACACATTTAGTATATCTAAATCTGATGTGGCATAACCATGTTTATTGTCATTACATTAGTTATAAAGGTGGGAGATGTTTTTTTTTAATGAAAAATAGCTGTAAAATATAAGGAACGACTACATTAACGCTTGACATTTTCTATTCACAAACATAAGGACTGTCTTAAATTTGTTTTTATGCAAATTTTCCTCTGTTGAAGATTATTTTGCATTGGAAATAAAAAAATAACTTTGAAGCCACTGTTGATGAATTCTCAAACGTTAATTGAGCCGTCTCCTACATTTTTATTGCTGTATCTAACCCACTAGCGACAGCGGCTTCAAAATAGCGCAGGGTGAGTCCGGCAACCTGCCTGTGCGCTGCCCGTCATGGGCAACAAAATCAGAGTGCTAGCTCCGATCTGGTGTCATACTGGCGGGACGCCCGGCAATGTTTACTTTTTCCAGGTGTCTCATGTGTGGGACAACCGTTGTAAGTGAGTTAATCCAAAAAATACAAATAGCGTTGTCCCCCTTTCCAAATGATGCAATGACAATAAATGTAGGTATGCAACATCACATTTAGATATACTAAATGTGTAATATTACCATTGAGATGTTAGCAAGATTTATTGCCACATCTACCATATCTTACTATTACAGCAGATTATCAAAATAGGGTCTCTAATGATTTACATGTTATTTCTATTACAAGCATTAACTTTGAGATGTAGCTACAGCATAAAATAGAGACAAAATTCTAAGAATACTGCCCCTTATCTCACCAGTTTACCCTGTTCCTAGATGTCTTGAATGTTTGGACTATCTTTTAAAAAAATGTTTAATATCATTAGTACTGTTAATAACATGGACAATTTTTACGGTATGGACTCACTGTTAGGGCAAATTGAATATGATATTCTTGCAGAGGACAAAAAGTTGCAGTCTTCGGTACAAGAAATAATCTGCAGACACGAACAGTAACGCCACATAAAAAGGATAAAATCAAGAAAAGCATCGCTCTCAGCCGAAATCCACACAATGCTCCCGAGTTTCAGCTCTATCTTGCTGTGCATACAAAGTGAAGACAATGTTTCCTCAGGGGGTGTTGGCATCATAGCCCCCCATCAACCCTCGCCTTGGGCAGTGCCTGATGGGCATGCCTAGTCATGGCAACTTAGACTGATGAATATATTTTTTGACATGGAATTGGGGACTTAGTCTCTGGCATGTGCATCCATACTCTAAAGAATTACCATTAATACTATAATAGTCATTATGCTATAATGATGATGATAATAATAATAATAATAATTATAATAATAATAATAACTGTAATGATAATACGAGCACTAGAAAAAAAAATCCTGAAAATTCAAGGAATAGGTTAATCTGGTGAGGTCAGGTAGCACCTTGGTGACTAAGAGCTTGTGGGGCCATTTATGTGTAAAATAAATTCACAAAAACAAAGCTATGGCAAAAAGTGAATCTATCCTGTGACAATAGGTTATTCTACTGAGAAAAAACAAACAAATTTGGAATTTATATTTCGCTTCACTATTTTCTACTAATGTGTTCTAATGAATTTAACAATATTTTTTAAAGTGAAACATAGAAATGTTACCTCTGTATCAATGGGCTTGAGGAGTTTCAAGTTGAATCCATACTTATTTTCACCTTGTGCTCCATTTGCAACAGCAGAGAATGATAATGTTTGTTCCTGGAGGTCCACATCAGGGGTCTGGAAGTGGAAAGTTCATGAATTAAGGCAGATCCACATAGGAAGCATAGGTATGGTTTATTTGTGTTTCTCCATGGATTTTCTTTTTTTTTACTGGAAAACTGAATACGCTTTTCTTTCATTAACTATTACATGTGATGTCGCTCAGTTAAAGTTTGAATAGAGAGGTTCAAAGAAGAAAAACTAACATTTCATTTGTCCTCTTTTGACCTACATATATGCTACCAGTGTGGTCAAGTCTACTGGCTTCAGTAATATGAAACTTCTCCCTTCTACCTGCTTGCAGAAGCATGCTTTTATCTGCAAACCAATATCATCCAAAATAAGGAGAAAAATAATAATATACAAATCAACCATAATTAGAGCAATACCAAGTTATTAACAATCTTAGAGGATATCAGAAAATTTTAAGGTAAAAATTAAAACAAAAGAAAATCTTATCTAAAAGCACCACAAAACTGCTTAAAATCAGTTAACCTAACTCTGTGGGTATGACAGGCCTATGCTTCAAATCTCTTGGATATCACAGAAACCATTTATTCATTCCCCTCATCGATCCCATATCAATAACCTTAACACTAATGCCACAGCTATATTGTGCACAGTCACGTTGATGTGCAGCATTAAGATGATTCTAGATCGTCCCTATATCACACAAACGTCAAAGATCAAGAATGTAATAAAACAATAAAACTTGAATTTTCTATCTAACAGTCAAATGTCAGTATAACAACTCTAAACATATAAAGATCAACAAAGTGTCACCTCCAATACAACCAAAACCGAAAACTAAATAATAATAACTACAACCGCAGACACAATCACTGGATAACCAAATATAACAGCCATTATTTATAACTTACCTGCACATTCCTCAGCTCAACACGTAGAGTAACAGCAGTGTCAGTCTGAGCCCAGTAAACAAAAGGACTCAGGTGTCTGTCTTTCTCCATGACTGTGTTTGTCATAAGAAAGAAGCCGCACACAAACCAACGCGAGTCCCGTCTCCCGACCAAGCGTTTGTTTACTTCAAGCAGCTGATGGGCTTTTAGAGGGACCCTGAATGGAAAGGACTAAAGGGAATGCTGTCATCTGTCAACTACGAGTATGGTAATGGTGATGGTGGTGGTGATGATGATGGTATTGATGGTGTTGATGATGATGATGGTGGTGGTGATGATATGATGATGGTATTGAGGATAATGATGGTGATGATAATGATAATAATGATGATGGTTATGGTGATGATGGTGATGATAATTATGATGATAATGAGGATGGTGATACTGATACTGATACCGATAATGATGGTTATGATTATGGTGACTGTGTATATATATATATATATATATATATATATATATATATATATATATATATATATATATATATATATATATATATATATATGTGTGTGTGTGTGTGTGTGTGTGTGTGTGTGTGTGTGTGTGTGTGTGTGTGTGTGTGTGTGTGTGTGTGTGTGTGTGTGTGTGTGTGTGTGTGTGTGTGTGTGTGTGTGTGTGTGTGTGTGTGTGTGTGTGTATGTGTGTGTGTGTTTGTGTGTGTGAGTGCATGCGTGTTTGAGTGTATGATTCTTACACTTTCAATTAAGGACTCGTTTTGATTTTCTTTCCTACGATGCCGGTGGTTATATAAGATGCCACAAAGTCCAAAGTCAGATTAGATTAACTTAGTGATAAACTTGTTTGAGAGGTAGCAAAGCATTTAAAGGGTGAAAATGAAGATGGCAGCAAACTTTTTCGTTGACTTTAGCTTTTCTTTAACCTCGTACTCTCTCTCTCTCACACTCTTTCTCCCCTTCCCTCTTTCTCTCACCCACTCACTCCCCTCCCTCTCTCTCTCTCTCACTCACTCTCTCTCTCTCACTCACTCTCTCTCTCTCACTCTCTCTCTCCACTCTCTTTCATCTCCACCTCTTTCTCTCTCTCTATCTCACTCATTCACTCTCTCCCCTCTCTCTGCATCTCCCATCTCTCTCTCTCTCTCATCCATTTTACAAAATGCATATAACCATTATGATAGCACTGATTTTTTGTTATACTCATACTTACCTGTAGAACAAACACATAACTAAATAAACACACACACACACACACACACACACACACACACACACACACACACACACACACACACACACACACACACACACACACACACACACACACACACACACACACACACACACACACACACACACACACACACACACACACGCACACGCACACGCACATATCACACACACACAACACACACACACACACACACAACATCACACACAGTAGAAGCATTCATTCATGCACAACCTTGTTATACATTACGTGAACGACGTAGTAATGACGTCAAGATGTAATGTTTCGTGAGAGAAAGTTTTGATAACTGTGAGCAATAACAATAATCTGTTCAACAAAGTAGACTATACATACATATTTTTATATGTTTGTTCAACTCCGTTATATAAGAATTAAAGTTATCGGATCTGTCTCTATGTATGGGGTAAGTCTGCACTGTTCTGTCAATGAATGCGGAGAAATACCTCCCTGACCTGTACAGGTAATAATGAGCACGAATTCATTTGGCCTTTCCAAATGAATGCTATTTACTTACTACTAAGTATGGAGAATAGGAAAGCACGAAAAATGTGAAAAATCTAATGTAACAGTTAGGAGCAATAT